AAAAAAAAAAGAAAAAAATAGCCGGGCATTGTGGCAGGTTCCTGTAGTCCCAGCTACTTGGGAGGCTGAGGCAAGACAATTGCTAAAGCCCAAAAGTTTGAGGTTGCTGTGAGCTGTGATGTTATAGCACTCTACCAAGGGCAACATAGTGAAACTCTCTCAAAAAAAAAAACAATGCTAGTCCATCTTGCCTTCCCCATTTCATATTGAGTCATCAGTTTCAGCTCATTTACTGAGCACTTGCACATGTCCAGCCCTGGCCTGGATCCTGAGGACTTCACTGGGTCAAATATTCCCTGTCTTCAAAGAACTTATGGTTTGGCTGAAGCAGAACCTTTGGAGGCAGGGAAAAGGCTGTCCAGAGACAGAGCTAGGAGAGGCATTTAAACTGGGCTCCAGGAGAAGTAAGTTACCTGGTAAGAGTTCCCAAAAGAACTTTCCAGATAGTGGTAATAACATGAGCTGAAGCCCACAGGTGTGAACATGCTGTGAGTTATTTTTTGTAACCATGAAGTTGCTCGGTGGACGAGGGCCAGGGATGGGGCCTCAGGCTCAGCTGTGGGAACAGGAACTTGACCCCGTAGGATGGAGAGTCCCAGGATGGCTTGAGGCTGGAGTCATAGTGAAGTTTGCAGATGAGGAAAGTGGTAGGTGGTGGGAGTGGGGATGGCTGGAGGTGCTGGGGTCCAGGGACAGGTGGTGCACCTGCCCCTGAGGCTTCCTACCTGGAGGCTGGGAAGGGCCACTGTCCCATGTAGTGGGGACAGCCCTGTGACCTCCTGGTCTCTGGCCCACAGGAGGCATGTGAGCGCAGCCTGGCAGAGATGGAGTCCTCACACCAGCAGGTGATGGAGGAGTTGCAGAGGCATCATGAGCGGGAGCTGCAGCGGCTGCAGCAGGAAAAGGAGTGGCTCCTGGCTGAGGAGACAGCAGCCACGGCCTCAGGTGTGGACCCTGGGGGGGTGGTACAGTGGGTGGGGCTGTGAGCCTTCATGTGGAGGCACCTCCCTGTGGAACTGAGGAGGCCTTTAAAAAAGTGTGGGGGCTTCAGCGCTATAGCTCATTGAGCAGGGTGCCAGCCACATATACCAAGGCTGGCAGGTTCAAGCCTGGCCCAGGCCTGCTAAACAACAATGACAACTGCAACCAAAGAAGCAACAGTCAGGTGCTATGGTGGGTGCTGTAATCCTAGCTGCAAGGGAGGCTGAGGCAAGAGAATCGCTTAAGCTCAAGAGTTTGAGGTTGCTGTGAGCTGTGACACCATGGCACTCTACCGAGGGTGACATAGTAAAACTCTGTCTCAAAAAAAGGGAACCTGAGGCAAATGAAAGACTCCCTGCCCCATGGGCTCCTCAGCCAGGAGCCACTCCTTTTTAGGAGTCTACCTCAAGTCACACACTGTCCATATGCTGGGGGAGAGATGCTGATCAACTATGCACCCTGCCCTTGTAGGAGTACCATCTCCCTGCACATGTGGGCCAAACTTTCGGGACAGCAGGGGGAAGATGGGAGCACTGCCCAAGTCCACTGTGTGCCACACTTTGGCATATGTTCCCTCTGGGAGCACCTTTAGTCCTCGAAGTACCCCAGGGAGTGGCTCCTTTTCACAGATAAGGAAATTTGGGCTCAGAGATTTTGGTGACTTGTGTCAGAGGGCACAGCTTGGAGGTGGCAGAGCTGGAATTGGAGCCCAGAAGACTGACTGCAAAGCTGTGCTCAGACCCCACCCTCTCTTCTCCCAAGCCAGAAACAGGAAATGCCTGAGATGGCAGACAACTCCCTGCCCTCCCTCTGTCCACTGTACTGTATGCCTAGAGCATCCTAGCAAGCACTGAGGGGTTTGTAGAACAATAGGAATTATGGAAGGAGTCACATGACCTGGAGTTTGCAACCTGCTGGTGATTTGCCAAGAGTTTATGCACTCAAGCCAAGCCTGGGGCCAGCGTGTTTGGATTTTAGGAAGACTGTCCAATGCAGGCACCATTATTAGATGCCCCTTTCCCCTCAGCAATGTCTGGGCTTTGCCCTGTAGTAATCTTATCATTAAGGTTTCTGCAGTGAAATTGATAAAAGTCACATTTACTTCGAATAATAAAGATTATAAGTAGCCTCATGTCTATTCAGGTTGGGTGTTGCCACCAAAAGAGTGATGAGAAGTTTACAGTGTTCAGCTCTTTCTATTTTTTTTATAGAGACAGAGTCTCACTTTGTCACCCTCTGTAGAGTGCTTTGGATCATAGTTGACAGCAACTCAAACCCTTGGGCTCAAGCGATTCTCTTGCTTCAGCCTGGTGTCCATAACTAACTACTAAGCTAAGGATGCTAAGCCAAAGCCTCAGTTCTTGGGAGCTCAGTCTAAGATGTAAAAACAGTAGGAAGTGATGTTTGAGTATTTACTCGGAGCTATGCCTTGTTTAAGTGCTCCACACACATCTTCCAGTATCCCCATAGAGGAAAGGAGTGGCTGTTGTCCCCATTTTCCAGATAAGGGACCTGAGGGTAAGATGGTCAGGGCAGGAAACAAAGGGTTAGGTCACCTGTACAGGATTGTAGGCTTGTACTGACTGCAGAGCTCGAGCTTGTGACCACTAGGCTGAACAAGGTAGATTGGCCTTGTTCAAGAGCTCTCCAGGCTCTTCTGGGATGGTGCACTGTGAGGGTGTTACCCAGAAATCACTGGAGCTGGTGGGTTCAAACCCAGCCTGGGCCTGCCAAACAACGGTGACAACTGCAACCAAAAAATAGCCAGACATTGTGATGGGTGCCTGTAGTCCCAGCTATTTGGGAGGCTGAGGCAAGAGAATCACTTAAGCCCAAGAGTTTGAGGTTGCTGTAAGCTGTGACAATATGGCACTCTACCAAGGGTGACATAGTGAGACTGTCTCAAAAAAAAAAAAAAGAAGTCACTAGCAACAGGAGGTCTCATACCAGTGCTCACTGAGGTGGTCTCCCTGGCAGGGTTCAATAGACAGAATTATCATCCCTTGATTGATGAGTTCAGAGAGGTTAAGCAATTTACCCAAACCTACTCCGTTTATGACACAACCTAGACTGCTCTGGACTTCTGGTCCAGGGCTTTTTTTTTCTTTTCTTTTCTTTCTTTTTTTTTTTTTTTAAGCAATTCTCTTGTCTCAGCCTCCCAAGTAAAGTAGCTGGGACTACTGGTGCCTGCCACAATTCCCAGCCATATTTTTGTTGTAGTTGCTATTGTTGTTTAGTAGGCCCAGGTTGGTTTCAAACTCACCAGCCCTGGTGTATGTGGCTGGTGCCTTAGCCACTGAGTTACAGGTGTGGAGTCTCAGAGAAGTGCAGCTGGGTGCTGCTGACCCCTCTTCACTCTCTCCTCTGCCTCTCTGCTTCTAGCCATTGAAGCCATGAAGAAGGCCTACCAGGAAGAGCTTACCCGGGAGCTGAACAAAACACGGAGTCTCCAGCAGGGCCCTGATGGCCTTCGGAAGCAGCACCAGTAAGATGGCACCTGGGCCCCACTGCCTACTTATCTAATGAGTTGGGGAACTTTCTTGAGACCAGAGAACACATTGTTTTGCCCTTGGCTGAGACCCTTCCACCAGTCTCATGGACACAAGGAACAGAAACAGTGAGGAGGCAGCGCCTGTGGCTCAAGTGGCTAAGGTGCCAGCCATGTACACCCAAGGTGGCGGGTTCGAATCCAGCCCGGGCCCGCCAAACAACAATGGCGGCTGCAACCAAAAAATAGCCAGGCGTTGTGGTGGGCACCTGTGGTCCCAGCTACTTGGGAGGCAGAGGCAGGAGACTCGCTAGAGCCCAGGAGTTGGAGGTTGCTGTGAGCTGAGATGCCATGGCACTCTTCCCAGGGGATAGCTTGAGGCTCCTGTCTCAAAAAAAAAAAAAAGAAAAGAAAGAAAGAAAGAAACAGTGAGGCTTCAGACTCCCCTGCCAAGTCCTTTTAGTCAGTTTTTCAGGTCTCTTCTTGTCCCTACTGGTCCTGGTTTCTGCTCTGCTCTTCACCCCTGTAGTGTACCCTAGAGCTTGGCTGCAGTGTCATTCTTGACCAGTAGGTGTCTCTCTGCCATGGAGCATAGTTCTGGAATGTTGGAGTTATAAGTGCTTTAGATGTGGGCTCTTCTAAGCCACTGACTCAGAGAGGAGACACTTATAGCCCAGAGAGACTGTCACTGGTTTGCAGCCCCACTGCAGGCTAAAGGCAAAACTAGGGAAGGAACCCCAAGTCCTGAGCTGCCGTGAGTCTCCTATGACCTGACTCTGGCTTGGCAGGAGCAAGAGAGCCCATGCCGTCCTCTCTTCCTTCCCTGGGACAGGTCAGATGTGGAGGCATTGAAGCGGGAGCTGCAGGTGCTTTCAGAGCAATACTCCCAGAAGTGTCTGGAGATAGGGGCCCTGACACGGCAGGCTGAGGAGCGTGAGCACACACTGCGGCGCTGCCAGCAGGAAGGCCAGGAGCTGCTGCGCCACAATCAGGTAGGCCTGGCACCAGGTATAGGGGGACACAGCTGTGTCCCAGTATCCTGCCCTGACCGTCTCACCACCCTCCCAGGAACTGCACTCCCACCTGTCAGAGGAGATTGAGCGGCTACGCAGTTTCATCGCTTCACAGGGCACAGGCAATGGTTGTGGGCGCAGCAATGAGCGGAGCTCCTGCGAGCTGGAGGTAAGCAGCCTCCCTCTTGCCAGGCAGCCCAGTGGGCCTCAGGGCCTGGGGTGGTGGGTGAGTCCTTAACGGGCTGAGTGTCACCTGTAGTGGGAAGCACCAGGTCTCCCAGGGCTACCCAGCCTATACTACAACACCTGCTGTGCTCCCAGCAGCCAGAGTCCAGCCCTCCCATCTGGGTCCTGTCACCTACCTGCTCTGTGACTGTGGCATGTCACCCCACCTCTCTGATCCCTGGTAGCTCATCTGTAAAATGGCACTAGCACCTCCCTTACTGGGAGAAGGTAGAGTGAAAAAATGTGAGGGGAGACCTGAGGATTATCCTAGTATTTTCTTTTATTTCTTTAACAAACACTTCTTGGCGCTTATAGCTCAAGCAGCTAAGGCGCTAGCCACATAAATCTGAGCTGGTGGGTTTGAATCCAGCCCAGGCTCACCAAACAACAACTACAAACAAAAAATAGCTGGGCATTGTGGCGGGCGCCTGTAATCCCAGCTACTTGGGAGACTGAGGCAAGAGAATCACTTAAGCCCAAGAATTAGAGGTTGCTGTGAGCTGTGACGCCATGGCACTCTACCCAGGGTGACAGCTTGAGACTCTGTCTCAAAAAAAATAAAACAAAACCACTTCTAATCAGGCTTCATTGTGCCCTTTTGCCTATTAACTCATCTAATCTTCCTACCAGCTCATAAGTTAGATACTGTCACCATCCCTGTTTTATAGCTGAGGAAACTAAGACACAGGGCGATCCAGCACCTTACTGAAGGTTGCCGAGCTGAGCTGGAATTTGAACCAGGCAGTCTGGCTCCAGTGTAAGCTTTTAAGCCTCTCTAGTCCCAGCCGAATCTGTCTCTTTTTTGGTCAAGTCAGCCACACCTGCCCCTCAGGGTTGGGGAGGCCCGTCCTGCTTTGGTTCAAGTAGGGCCATGACATGGCCTCCTCCCCCAGCTGTGGGCCTGGTGCCGTGAGGGGGGCTGTAGCAGAGATTGCCATAGGTACCCACTTATGTGGTCTGGACAGGGGTAAGGGAAGGATGGAAGAAAAGCAAGAAGGTCAGAAAAGGCTTCCTGGAGGAACCTACTTCCAGGTTGGAAAGGGTCTTGGTGTAGTTGGGGGCTGCTTTCTAGGGGCTCAAGGCAGGGAGAAGCCAGGCTACAGGGTGCTGGGCCAGGGTAGCTCTGGCCTTTGGCCCTGGGTCAGCCTGGTACCTATGACCCCAGGTGCTGCTGCGAGTGAAGGAGAATGAACTTCAGTACCTGAAGAAGGAGGTCCAGTGCCTCCGGGATGAGCTCCAGACAATGCAGAAGGTAGGTCCTGGCTACCAGGGCAGGGTAATCAGTGGGGTGGTAGCCTCCGTAACCACCTGATGCGCATCCTGTGAGTGCCTGCTCTGTGCCAGGCACCTCCCTTGCCTCATCACTCCTCAGGCTCTACTGTGACTCTCCCAAGAGGTATTACTATCCCTGTTCACTGACAAGGAAACTGAGGCTAAAAAAGGGAACTGATTTGCCCAAGGCCATACTCATTTTTATTTATTCAGCATTATTTAATTTATTATTACTGAGCACCTATAATATGCCAGGCACAGTGTCAGGTGCTGGGAATCTATGACTGTGAGCAAAATAGACCAAAATCTCTACATGTTGTAAGGGCCAGATTGGGCCTTGGTGCTGAGTCCACAGCCTGCCCAGGCCACTCTGAGCTACCAAGTTCATGCACTGGCACACTCTGCCAGTTTGGGGCCGGAAATGGGCATGTCAGTGGCTCTGTGTTGAGCTGGAACTGGGCACACTGAGCTTGATCAGGCAGCAGGAGCTCCTGGAAGCCTGAGCACCGAGCAAGGCTGACTGGTCCTCCGAGCCTCCACTGCCCTATGGTCCTGTGCACAAGCATCACCTCCCTAAAGCTCCGCTCTCAGCAATCCAGGGGGATGAAAGTGACAGAGCAACATGGAGGCTGCTCAGCTGGCTGGCCAGGGGCAGAGGGGGTATGTGCCAGGGGACAGTCAGAAAGGGCCGGCCTCACGCCCTCATAGACCCTCCCTACTGCCCAGGACAAGCGCTTTGCCTCGGGAAAGTACCAGGACGTATATGTGGAGCTGAACCACATCAAGACTCGCTCGGAGCGGGAGATCGAACAGCTGAAGGAGCATCTACGCCTCGCCATGGCTGCCCTGCAGGAGAAAGAGTCAATACGCAACAGCCTGGCTGAGTAGAGTGGGTGCTGGGCTCTGGGTCTACAGGGTAGGTGGTGGGCCCCAGGATCCTGGGCCACCATTCTCCTGCCTCCATTTCCCTTCCTATAAATGGGACAGTGACACCAACAACACAGAGTTGTCACAGAGGCTGCCTTATCAGCCTGAACATGTTTTTTCAGAGGCAGGAGCGCAGCTCGGAGCCCCAGCCTGACTCTTGACAGTTCATGCCCCCAGGGGCACATGGCTGAGCCCACAGCCTTTGTCCCTCTGAGCATCACCCCTCCCTGCTCGAGGCCAAGACTCCATCTAGTGGAGTTGCATTTTTTTTTTTTTTTGAGACAGCCTCAAGCTGTCCCCTTGGGTAGAGTACTATGGCATCACAGCTCACAGCATCCTCCAACTCCTGGGCTCAAGCGAGTCTCCTGCCTCCGCCTCCCAAGTAGCTGGGACCACAGGCGCCTGCCACAACGCCTGGCTATTTTTTGGTTGCAGCCGTCATTGTTGTTTGGCGGGTCCGGGCTGGATTTGAACCCACCACCTTAGGTGTATGTGGCTATTGCCTTAGCCACTTGAGCCATAGGCGCCAAGCCTATTATGCCTTTTCTAATGCCATGTCCACCTAGAGCGTCTTTTTTCCAGCAAGCCCTCATGGACTTCCTAAGGCACATGAGAGAGGCCCCCATAGGCCCGGGAGAAGCTGGTCTGCCTCAGGTATAAGGACCCACCTGCCCCCTCGCCTGGCTGCAGCCCTGTCCTTCCTTGTTTTCCAGGTCCTCGTGGTCTGCTCAGCTGCATACCCTCCAGCCCTAAAGGACCGGCCACCCTCCTTCCCTGCTGGAGGGAAGTCAGAAGCCAAGCTTTGTTCCCACCCTCTGTGGGCCACACATTCACTTGCACCCTACACACACACACACACACACACACACGTACGTATGTACACATGCACACACACACACACACACTCTGCGTATCTGAGCGTGCCCCTCGCACTGGGTCTTACCTTGCACCTTCTTCAGGATTTTATATGTGAAGAGATTTTTATATAGATTGTTTCCTTCCTCCTCAAAAAACACTTTGTACTTCTTTAGAAAACAATTCCCAGTGGCTGTATGCCTCCAATCCTGGCTCCCACTCTAACTTCAGCCACCCCATGCTTGGGCTTTGGGGCTCTGACCTGGCCCCAAGACCCAGGCAGTGGCCAGAGTGGGTTGTCCCTGGTGGGGAGAGGCAGGGAACCAGCCACCCTCTCCCCACCCTACCTCCTACTAACACTTCCTACCCTGAATGGACTCATACCCTGGGACTCTGGACAGAGGGACAGATGGACAGAGGGAGCCAGCAGCTATACCCAAGGCCCCCCTCTTCTGAGAAAGAGGTGCTGGGCATGCAACTGTTGGGGCAACCCATGAAGGCATTTCTCTCCTGTCCTATGAAACTTCTTAACTTAATAAAACGTTCCAGCAGCTCTGGTGTCCTGGATGGCTGGGCAGAATGAGAATGGAGATTGGGGTTTCTTAAAGTGGTTTCCAGCCCCGACCATCTTCCCCGCCCTTCCTGAAGCATGGCATGTGGGCTTCTGAGGGCAGAGGTGAGAATATGGTTCCCCCATGAGGTGAGGACTTTGATGTTCCATGTGTGATTTGCAGGCCAGCAGCAGCAGGGAACATGTGAGAAATACTAAGCCCAACCCACTGACCTGCTGAATCAAAGTCATCTCCTTTTTTTTTTTTTTTTTTGAAATAGAGTTTCACTAGTTGCCCTCAGTAGAGTGCTGTGACATCACAGCTCATAGCAACCTCATACTCCTGGGTACAAATGATTCTTTGGTCTCAGCTTCCCAGGTAGCTGGGACAACAGTACCTCCACAATGCCCAGCTATTTTTATTTTTATTTACTTATTTATTTTTTTGAGACAGAGTCTCACTGTGTCACCCTGAGTAGAATGCCATGGCATCACAGCTCACAGCAACCTCTAACTCTTGGGCTTAAGCAATTCTTTTGCCTCAGTCTCCCAAGTAACTGGGACGACAGGTGCCCGCCGCAGTGTCTGGCTGTTTTTTTTTTTATTTTATTTTTTTTGTCATTGGTGTTTAGCTGGCCCGAGCTGGGTTTGAACCCGCCAGCATTTGGTATATGTGGCTGGCGCTGTAACCACTGTGCTACAGGCACCAAGCTGCCCAGCTATTTTTAGAGATGAGGTCTTGCTCTTGTTCAGGCTGGTCTTGAACTCATGAGCTCAAGCAGTCTGCCCATCTCAGCCTCCTAAAGTGCTGGGATTACAGGCTTGAGCCAATATGCCTGGCTCAGAGTCTGCTTTGACTCTGAGGGGTCAAAGTGACCTTCACATGAACCTCCAAGGGTCCCTAGTGACCTTCACATGAACCTCCAAGTCTAAAGAGCCTTGGAAAAAGGCCTGGAGTTAAAGCTGCCCCAACTGACCTTCAGCAAGTTATGTCCCCTCTCTGAGCCTCAGTTTGCTTCTCCATCAAATAGATATTTTTCTTCCAGCTCCAGTTCTATATTGAGGCCCAGATCTGGGGTAGGCCCAGATCTGGGGTGGGCACAGTGGATGTGGCCACCCCAGGCCCAGGCCCACTAGGCCAAGAGTCCTTATCATGTCATTATTAGCACAGATTGGCTGTGCTAATCTTTTTGGTTTTTTAGAGACAGGGTCTGTCTCCGTTATCACCCAGGCTGGAGTACAGGGGTATGATTATAGATTCCTGCAGCCCCAAACTCCTGGGTTCAAATGATCCTCTTGCCTCAGCCTCTAAGTAGCTAGGACAACAGGTGCACAGCACCATGTTCAGCTAATTTTCTAATTTTTTTGGTAGAGATGGGGTCTTGCTATGTTGTCCAGGCTGGTCTTGAACTTCTGGCCCATAGCGATCTTCCTGACTTGCCCTTCAGAAGTGCTTGGACTGTAGGCATGAGCCACTGTGCCAGGCCATCAGTCATTTTCATTTGAGCTATTCTAATAGTGGGAGGGTCACATGGGCCTGGGAAGAGGCTCCATTTCTGAGCCACAACAGGCCACATCCCAAAGGGGCCCAGAAGGCTGAGAACTGAGAGGAGACCTTGACTAATCCCGCAGGCTAAAGAGTGCTTTTACAGGCTCGGCGCCTATAGCTCAACCGGC